AAATGAACACCCAAGAATGTTACTTCATTTTCTGTGAAAATGCCTTCTACACGGTCCTTGTGTCATGAAGTGTTCTCGAATAAAGGTCACATTGATGGGGGGAGACTTGGCATGGTCTGGGTAGACTGATGACACAGTTACACTGTCCCTGGTGATTTAGGTATCGATTCTAGAATCTTTGCTTCTGTGGGCTGTATTTATTGATGCCATCTCAGGAATTAAAACTGGGGAATCTTAAGCTCATTAAGACAACAGAAAACCCATTACATGTTAATAAAAATAGCAGATATTTTTTGCAAAATACCATACTTGTCCAATTCTGCTTAATGAGGAGAGTGGTCCTATTTTACACTTTTGCAAATCTTTTGAGTGTCTGGCTTACCAGGAGACATCTGGACCCTCTTCTCTGAATCTGCATTTAATCAGTTCTCATGTTTCGTTGAAGTTCAGGAGGAAATTCTGGCCTCATGCAGATAGGCATTTGGAAAGGGGGAAATATTTTAACACCTTAAACAGATGATTGTGGAACTCTTCTTGATATTACACCAAAACTTGACATACAGTGGTATTGTGTCTTAACAGTTACTTGAAAAGTACAGTCTGAAATCCTTTGAAGAAGCTTTCCTTACTTGGCTGAGTGGAAATCCACTGGTCTCTTTGGAGGACACTTGCCTGTGCGTGAGTTTGGAGTACGAGCTGCTGATCAGTTGGAAGCACTGGGTCATTGAGTTGTAAATGCTATGGGCTGGATGTGGTTTGCCCCCCAAAGTTTCATGTATGGGGAGCTTGGTCCCCAGTGTGGTGGTTGGGAGAAGTATGTGGGACCTTTATAAGGTGAGCTTAGTGGGGTTTCTGGGAAGGGATTGAGGTAGTTCCTCTGGACCCCTGTGGTTTCTTGGGAGAAGGTTGTCATGACAGCCTCTCTCACTTTCTGTTTGGAGATGTGACCCTTTACTTCCACACTGGCTTCACCTCTGACATCTGCCATGATGTGACAAAGCTCAGAAACTCTCACCACAGTGAAGCTGATGCCAGCTTCACTGCATGCCTTTGACCCTCCAAAACTATGAGCCAGACAAACCTTGTATTCTTTGTAAGTAGCCTGCCTCAGGAATTTCATTACAGACACGAAAAAGTAATACAGGCAGATATTCCAAATGTTAACATGATTCACTCTGCAAAACCAAACCAAACCACACCACACCAAACCAAAGCACCCACCTCCATTAATATCGCTACTGACATCATCAGAAAATCTTTAATTATTGGGAAACTGTTACACTTTCAGTGACAGATATGAGTTTTCTAGAATTCTGATTTTTGCATGAAAACTTCAGGGTTGTCACTGGGAGCAGAAGCTTCCCCTGTAGCGACAGGCTACATTTTATCATAAAATGCCCACGCTTGACGCATCACAGTCTGTAGTTGTTTTGTCACGTTCAATGGTGTCCCATAAAAGTAGTGGCTTCTTCAGCTGCTGACTCAGACGATTACACAGGTGCTTTTCTTTGAGATGAGCAGTCTATGGATGGAGAACACCAGTGTTCTACTCATACTTCCCAACTGGCCCCAGAGAGTGCTTACTTAGATGGCCTACATCAAGTGTTGTGATTTACTGCAGTTAAAAATTTCTCTTGCTTCATCACCTCTCCAGGGATCATAATAGTAAATGTCAACTCACCAATTATTTCATCCTTAAATGAAACTAATCCTCTTTTCCTGTCTTTTCTGCTTTTCCTGCAAGTGCATGGTGGTTAAAAAAAAAATCTCAAGAACCTGGCACTACTGCCTTCACGTTCACCGGCAAACCCGCTCTTGTGGTAACAGACCCACTCCAGAGACGATGGCATCAAACCACTCATGAGGTCACAGTCCTGGTGGCCTCGTTGCCTTTTGGAGGTCTCCCCACCACCCGACACTGTTGTACTGGGAATGAATTTCCAACTGTGGACTTTGGGGGAACACACTCAAACCATAGCAAAACACACACACACACACACACACACACACACACACACACACGTACGCAATTTAGAAACCTGCACTGAAATGCTAAATTCAATTTAGGATCAGGATTACTTCTAAGGAGGGAGGAAGGGAATGAGATAAAAGCTTAAATTTATCTGGAAAAACTGATACCTCAAGACTCTGAAGCAAATATGATAAAATGTTAAGGTTTGGTAGAACTGGCTGACAAGTGTCATTGTACCATTCTCTATTTCTTTCTGCTTAAAGCATTAGATTATCAAAGCATTTAAAGGGCTTCCCTAATGGAAAAGGTTTTGTTGGAAATGTTTAATTTTTAAACACAGAATTCTCCTTTTTACTTTAATTATCAGAATCTTAGTGCTAAATTGAATACTAAATTTTAATTACTCAATTAATCTAAGTTTGTCAGTAACCTTTTTAATATTAAAAACATAAATTTCAAGGAAATCGTAAGTATTCCAAAATATCTTTCATAAAAATTTGTCGATTGCTTATTTTTTGTCCCATTTGCCTTATCTTATTTATCCTGTGGACACACTTTGTCTCTCTTTCTTTGTCTCTGTCATACACACACACTTGTTTCTGCTGTTGGTTTGACATACATTGTAGGACTTGTCTTTTTTATTTCTGCAGTTTCACTGTTTGTATACTTTTTCGGAGGGAGGGAAGGAGGTTGCTAAGATACAAATTATAAATAAGTAATTCTCCATGTAAATCATTGTATCATCTCCATGTAAAAATGTGAGGTGCCAAGTTCTATTACTGATTTATATAAATAAAGATAAAGGGGAAAACCAGAAAAGGAGTCCAGGCATATTCCACTACCAGCTGACATTGGGTGCCATTGATATGTGCACATTTAAATACATGTGTGCCCATTTAGAATAGGCAGTTCTAGCTCCTTCTTTGTTAAATGACAGAACAGTAGTACAGTATGGTTTGAAATGTCCATGTCATTGTTAATAATACATAATAATTCTTTGGTTAGTCCTATTTTTTTGTTTTTTGGTAGTGCTGGGGGTTGAACTCAGGGCCTTGTACTTGCTAGGCACTGTACCACTTGAACCACTCTGCCAGTCCTTTTCATGTTGGGTACTTCTGAGATAGGGTCTTGTTTTATGCCCTGGTTGGCCTGGACTGTGATCTTCCTATTTGTGCTTCCCCTTCTAGCTGGGATAACAGGTGTGTGCCACCATGCCTAACCATTAGTTGAGATGGGGGGGTCTCGAGAAATTTTTGTCCCGACTGGCTTTGAACCATGATCCTCCTGATCTCTGTCTCCTGAGTAGCTAGGATTACAGTCTTGAGCCACCATGTCTGGCTGGTTAGTCTTTCTGTAGTTAGAGAAGTTGTAATCATGAATTGGGAAGTAGTGAACAAGAAATCGTAGTTACCAAAGCTAACCCAAGGGCTGGCAATGCAACTCAGTGGGAGAGCGCTTGCTTAGCACATGCTAAGCCCTGGGTTCCTCCATCCCCAGCACCAAAACAAACAAACCAAAACCCAAAAGAAGTCTTTTTTTTGGTTGTCTCTAAATCTAGACTTGTGTGACCTCAATGGTTTCTATTGGGTTCTGTTAAGTATATTCCCTACTAATTAATTCCATTTTTGTCTCAAGGTCAACATTGTGGACAGCTTCCAACAAGAAAAGCATGAGCCTGCTAATCAAACAAAGGTGGAGTTGGAAAGGCAGCTCCTTGGTAAGTGAAGCCAGTGTCTACACTTTTCTAACAGGCTGGATTGCAATTTGAGTGCTTTAGCGCCCTGTCCATGTTCAGCTTGCAGAAAAGAAAATAGTCTCTAGATATGTCCTTTTAGAGTCTCAAGGTGCTGCCAGGGAGATGAGCCACCTGCGGACATCAGAGATCAGCCACACAGCGTTGGCCTGGGGACCTGTCCACGTGACTCTTTCTTTCTGAGATTAAACCATGCTGGACTTAGTATCTTCCCATACAGGGCCTGCAGTCAGCCTCCCACACAGCTGTGAGTTTTAACTTCCCGCCATGTTGCCCTGTGACTCTCCACTTACTGTTGTTCTTTTGATCAATTCATTTTAGAAGTAAGTCACTAAAATAACTTACCTTTTTGTGGATAAAGAGAGGGATGAGGCTAGGCGCCAGCTTCACTTATAATTAATTAATAGGCAGTAGCTATAAATATTTATTATGAAAATCAGAGCAGAGGGTTAAATTCTATCTATGTTCTCTGACCTAATAAATATATGAGGCCAAGATCTCAATACGAGTTCATTTATCGCCCCCATCTCTCTCTCTCTCTCTCTCTCTCTCAACAGGGAAACTAGTACACAGAAAGGCATTAAAATCTTTGAGCCGGGTGTGGTGGTGCACACCTGTAATCCCAGCACTCAGGAAGATGAGGCAGAGGATTACGAGGCCGACCTGGGTTGCATAATGAGACCCTGACTCCAAAAAAACAGTTCTGCTCTTCTAGAGCCTTTTTAAAAATTGGCAGTTCCAGCTACATGGGCCCTGCATTCCCATATGACAGCAATCAGATGGGGCTTGAGTTATCAGAATGCCACAGTCTCCACCACTCCCTACTGATTCCCTCCTGCTGAAGTTGAGTATCAGTTGCTGTGCTTCACTGGCAAAGTCACAGGGTGATGGTGAGGTGCCAGAAGTTTTAAACTTGTCTCCTGGTGTTCATTTCACTACCTTCCTGGTACCAGTAGGCCTTTTATCTAGGTGCTGATTAAGTTCTCCTATAGCTGTGCCATTCTAAGATTCTTAGGGAAAAAACCTTTAAAATATTTTGCACTTTTCAATACTTATGAAATTTGTATTGTAAACAAGCAGAAGTTATAGAAAGTTTCCAAGGCTCGGTGGCAGAATGTGTACACTCCCAAGACTTGGAGGAACCAACATGATGGGGTTGTTGGAGAGATTAAACAGGATAAGGCGAGTGGGCCTACAGTGGCCAGCTCAGTCTAAGAGCTTCCTAAATGTGAGTGGTGTGACCATTGTTTGTCTTTTCCCCAGAGGATAATCGAAATGAATAAGTTGGTAAGGGTTCTCCCAGCTATTTCTCTACAGAAGTAGGGACGGGAATCTGTACTAAAGAGCCAAGGCCCCAGCACGTGCATTGTTTTGGGATGTGGCCTGTGGCATTTCCCTGGCAGTGCTCATCCGTCCCTGAAGGCTGCTGAGTGTCCCATGCTAGGGGCGGGCATACCATCACACAGCTATTGCCATGCTGTCTCCTATATGTTCCAGCCCAGACTACATCTTCGCCCAGCTGCTTATTTGGTGCACATCTTCAGATGTGCGGTCGCCGGGTCTGGCTCCTTAAAGATCCTGGGATTCTGGCCCTGAAACGTGAAGATCACCATATTCCATTCTCGTGCTTTTTACTCTTTCCATTTTTTTCTCCTTCTAGCTGTTCAGTAATATGTCTGATGATATGTCATTAACGTATGACTGCGTTTAATCAGAGGACCTGGAGTAGACGAGTATCCAGAGATTGGTTTATTTTCTATAGATCATGACAGTGCAAAAATATACATTCACTGCCCTGTTGGTCAAGAAACAACACCATCTTTCATGGTATCTAAAAATTGATATATTCTTTTTTGACTGTTTTGTTAGTATATAATAGTTGTATGGAGTTTCATTGTGACATTTCCCTTTATGTGTACAATGTACCTCATCTCTTGTATTATTCTCCCTCTTCCCCCTCACCCTTCCTAAAATGAGTTCCACAGGTTTCAGTGTTCTTTATTTATATGTGTATAAAAATTTGATATACTTTAAGGTTGGGTTTATTTTGAAGCTGTTGCAGGACAACTGTATTTGGTAAGCGTTATTTATGCTGATTACCTGTCAGGTTCTGGAGACTGTGATAGACTCTAGAAGTTTGCATGGGACACAGGTTAATTTTGGAATCTTGATAGAGCTCTGGGCTTTGGCCTTGTGGTGATCCCTGCTGTCTGTGTGACTGCTATAGATCTTCATTTTATTGACCAGGATCCCAACAGGCTCAGGATGTCTGAAAGCATTTGGGGGTGGAACCACAAAATGGTCTGGTTTAGTTTCTGATGAGTGACATTTGAAATACAGAGACAAGCTAGAAACAGACCCTAGTACATGCCCAATAACTGGCAGGGAGGATTTGCAAAGCTGTCCGCAATGTCCTATTGTGAGGCCAGGTGTTAGGATTTCATCACTCTAACCCAAGGGCTCCTGGGAAGTTGAAATTCAGGTTCTGAACGAGGAGAGAAAATTATAAAGAAAAGAGCCCCAAGCCGACTATCATGTTACTCTCCTACCGCTCAGGTTCTTAAGTAGTCATGCTCTGTTTTGACGTCTGCGTCATGGTACCATGGGAGTGGGCTCCATTCTCAGGTCTGCGTAGCTGTTCTAAATCCCTAAGGAACATGCTTAACATCTGAGGACGGAAAGTTATAAAGATTTCTCTCCAGTGGCCTCGAAATACTTGTACACACAATAAGATGTGTGCCCTGAACTCACTGATAGACTCTGAGCTCTAATTTTTAAACAGGCAGACCTGCTCCCAGAACTCCACAAGACAGAGAGGTGACTCAGCCTTCTCTGTCCGTATAAACTCTTGCCTCCCCTCTCTGCAGGAGTTGCAGTGTTATTAAAAGAAGGAATATACAGTAATCATGAGATCAGGCTTCTCAGTCTTTAATGACCAGAGCACCTGGGGACCTTGGTGAACCGCAGATTCTGTTTCACTAGGTCGGGGTGGGTGAGGTTCTGCATTTCTGAGGAGCTCCCAGGCAGCGCCTGAGCTGCTGGTCCCTGGGTTTCTGTGGGCTGAGTAGGCAGGAGCCGGCACACGGTAATAACTGGCCTGAGTTGCGCAAGGATGGAACCCAACATCTATGCTCACCTGTGGTTGTCACTGGAAGAGTTTTCTGGAACTCAGGGTTGAGCTGGGCAAGTTTGACACATCACAGACAGGACCCAGGCACTGTTGAGCAAAAAGTGAAAATATGCCATTTTCCCAAAAGGGAAATGCACTGTATCCTGGTGGGGTCTGTTAGGTCAAGATGTCAAACACCGACGATCGGGCCTCCCAATCATCATTTGGCCAAATCCATGTTTTCTTTTCTCAAAGCACTGCTCATAGTTGTCCTTTATCATGGAGTTGGTAGTTATCTGGTTCCTGTCCCTGCATTTAACTGTCAGCTTCTATGAGGGAAGATACAGAGCAGAAATTCTGAACCTGGCTCACTCATCACCCTCGGAGCATTGCTCTGTTTATTTTCTCCCAATGCCCTCCTTAACTTTGGTGCTTGACTCTAGGTTGACAGTTGATCTCTTCCACTAGAACGCAAGTTCTAGGAGGGGAGAAGTCCCAAGGTCAAGAGCAGGGCTACCCATACAGTAGGTCTCTGCTAATTCTGTTGATGAGTGAGTGAGTGGGTGAGTGAGTGACCCACCTGGTATATGGATGACCCATGAAACGTGGATGCAGGGAGAATGCCCCGTGAGGATGGAGGCAGAGTCTGGGGGGATAAAAACATCCATAAGCCAAGGAGTAGCAAGGCTTGCTGGCAACCATGCAGCCAGGAGAGGCCCGGCCAGACTTTTCCTCACAGCCTTCAGAAGCTCACCCTGCCGACATGGATTTCAGTTCCAGCCTCCAGAGCTGTGAGGATAAATTTCCACTCTAATCACAAGAACAGCCCAGGGGTTTGCAGACTGGCTAGGATCACAGGAAACCACTGATTAGAGCCAGTGGCCATGTTTCATGGTATAAGCCAAGTGTCACAGAAGGGCGGCACAAATGGAGCATCCTAGCTGAACCATCTGCCTCTTACAAGAATGTTTGTGATTGGTTTTGGCAGACCATAAGGAAACGTGCTATTAAATGTTGTGTAAACCCAGGGAAGCCGTAGGGAGACATTCTAGGGGATCCCGAGGGGTCTCTAAAAGGAGGCAAAGGTTTCGAAGCTTTGGGCTTGGAAGGTGGCAGGGAGGCTAACTTGTTAATTCTATTAACCTGTAAGAATGCTGGAATGCCAGTTGAGAATTGCGGTAAAATTTAAGAAAGAGTTGGAAAGGAAAAATGTCTGCCTATTTGGCCTTTGCAGGAATCTTATCTACTTATTAAATATGCTCAATTTCCTAGGATACAAATACAGCTCGAACCCATCCTTTATAGTCTTCCAAATAATTATTTATTGATCTTTATCCCCAGTCATCTTTGTCCACTTCTAACCCATGCGTATAAGCGATTTTGTATTGTGCACTCGGCACTTAGGACTCTCCCATTGCTCATTTGTGTGTCAGATCCTGTGCGTGTAATTTCAAATGGCCATATGGCAATCCATCATGTTAATCACCATGGTTTGTTTATCCAAGGGTATAAATCTTAAGGCTCTAACGAAAAGTTGAGAATCCTTTCCAAGTGCAGAAAATATCTGTGCTATTTCCTTCCTCCACTGTGACTCTGCATCTCCCAGAAATTCTTAGCATCTTGCCAGTGAATAAACAACACTCACACTTCTCAGGCATCTTGCAGAACTGAAGGTCTCAGATGTAGCTTTTAGGATAATAAATGGAATATAAAATAATAAACATAAAACAAACATGTGGTTCTTGTTTTAAGTGGGAGGATTACAGTTGGCCCAGTTTGAGAGCCAGAAGTCAGGGTGATTAAGGAGCAAAGAGCTGCCAGCATGGGCATGAATTATGGAGAAGCACTGAGCAATGGTGTGGGAGAGAGCCAGTTTGCTTGCAAAAACTTAAAAAATGTATGCTAGAGTCCCTGAAGCCGGCTAGCTCAGGAGTGGAAGCCCTGCAGCACCCTTTAGCCTCTCTGGGAGGGGAGGAGCCGACCTGGAGACAATGTGGACTGGCCACCCTGGGAGGCTCCTGCCTGCCCTCTGGGAAGCCCTGCTGGGAGAGCAAGCCCCTGGAGCAGGCTCTGCAAACCTGAACTCTGATCTGCTTACTCTGCCCCTGCCAGGGCCAAGTGGCCACTCAGCCTGGCTCCGATGCACAGCAGATGACTGGGTGCCCCCCTAGGGTTTCTGCAGGGGGCAAAGGAGCTGGATTGTCCATGCTAAACTTTAAGAACCTGTTTTCCTCGGTGCCCCCCAGCAGGATGCTGGTCCTGCAACCAAAGGACCCTGGAGCATCCAAGTTCCCATTGTGGAGCCACCCTCTGCTCTGAGCACTCTTCAGTATGGCAGCTCTGACCCACAGCTGGCTCTTTCTCTAGTCTTTCAGCCTTCAACAACTAAACTCATGGTGTATCCTAGAGCCACGAGAGACAAGGTAGATTAGACTTCCCTTAATATATATGTCTGTGTATATTTAGTACCCACAGTTTTGATCAAGCACAATCAAAAACTAGTACCAGTAGATTTAAAAAATTGAAAGAAAATTTGAAAATAAATTTTTTTATTGTTTTATTATTCATATGTGCATACAAGGCTTGGGTCATTTCTCCCCCCTGCCCCCACCCCCTCCTTTACCACTCACTCCACCCCCTCTCTTACCCCCCCAGCCCCCTCAATACTCGGCAGAAACTATTTTGCCCTTATCTTTAATTTTGTTGTAGAGAGAGTATAAGCAATAATAGGAAGGAACAAGGGGTTTTGCTGGTTGAGATAAGGATAGCTATACAGGGAGTTGACTCACATTGATTTCCTGTGCGTGTGTTACCTTCTAGGTTAATTCTTTTGATCTAACCTTTTCTCTAGTTCCTGGTCCCCTTCCTATTGGCCTCAGTTGCTTTAAGGTATCTGCTTTAGTTTCTCTGCGTTAAGGGCAACAAATGCTAGCTATTTTTTAGGTGTCTTACCTATCCTCACCCCTCCCTTGTGTGCTCTCGCTTTTATCATGTGCTCAAAGTCCAATCCCTTGTTGTGTTTGCCCTTGATCTAATGTCCACATATGAGGGAGAACATACGATTTTTGGTCTTTTGGGCCAGGCTAACCTCCACTCAGCGAATGATGTTCTTCTTCATCCAATTCCATCACATCTTAATCCATTCGTCAGTGGTGGGGCATGTTTCCATAACTTGGCATTAGTCGCAATAAACTTGCAGGTTCTGAGCTGTGTCACAGTCTTTTGGGTATATCCCCAAGAGTGGTATTGCTGGATCATATGGTAGATTTATGTTTAGATTTTTAAGTAGCCTCCAAATTTTTTTCCAGAGTGGTTGTACTAGTTTACATTCCCACCAACAGTGTAAGAGGGTTCCTTTTTCCCCGCATCCTCGCCAACACCTGTTGTTGGTGGTGTTGCTGATGATGGCTATTCTAACAGGGGTGAGGTGGAATCTTAGTGTGGTTTTAATTTGCATTTCCTTTATTGCTAGAGATGGTGAGCATTTTTTCATGTGTTTTTTGGCATTTGAATTTCTTCTTTTGAGAAAGTTCTGTTTAGTTCACTTGCCCATTTCTTTATTGGTTCATTAGTTTTGGGAGAATTTAGTTTTTTAAGTTCCCTATATATTCTGGTTATCAGTCCTTTGTCTGATGTGTAGCTGGCAAATATTTTCTCCCACTCTGTGGGTGTTCTCTTCAGTTTAGAGACCATTTCTTTTGATGAACAGAAGCTTTTT